CACCCCTTCACCTCCCCCACCCCCACCCCCACCCCCACCCCCACCCCCACCCCCATTTCTGAAGAAGGGTTTAGGCCCGAAACGCAGCCTTCCTGCTCCTCTGATGCTGCTTGGCCTGCTGTGTTCATCCAGCTCTACACCTTGTTATCTCAGCGTCATAAAAGGAAGCGATTTAGGGAAGAAATTCCACTTTATCTCAACTTCGTAATCACAGCATAACTATAGCACAAGAGACAATTTATATGTGGTGTTAATGTATTGAACTAATTCAATATTTATCTCAACACTGAGAATAAGTGGCATTTTCATTCATCTCATCAACTTTTTCATTTTGTATTCAGGATCATAGCATCAACTGTATATTTTATAACAATCCATAACTTGAAGTCTTCATTAAATATGAAAAATGGTCAATCTTGATCCATTGCGTAAGAATCCCGCGAAAATCCCTACATTGGGTTGTGTTGCTAATAAAGTAAAACTAAATGCACATTTCTTCCATTGAATTGTTATTCTGAATATTATACTGAACTATATTTTTAATCCTGTTTTTAATACACCCTGGTTAAAAGAGGCTCAGAGATGACTTGATGGAGAATTGTGTTTAGAGTCTTCCTTATAAAAAAGGCAAACTCCAGAAAACTAGCAGGCTGGTGTATGACAACTAAGATATAAATCATTAGCAAAGCTGAGTCCCAAGGTCTGTAGTAAGCCTACCAGTGAAAACAGTCTTCTTTTGCTTTAAAAATATAGTTTATTCATAAAAAATATCTGTATATACAGTTACTACAGTAGCATATGAAGAAGCAAACAAGCATTGGAGTTTGACTCTATCTAACAAACAAACTAGAGGCATTTCTTCCTTGCACAAGACTATATTTACAAATATTTGAGGCACCGGGGATCTGATAACTGAATGGACCCCCATTTAACTCATATAAGCTTTAATTGCCCAAGCAAAGTTCCAGACGCAAGGAGCTGAAAGGCCATATTTTCTGCTGTAACTTTGTGACCCTTTGCCTGTTTCATTTCATTTTACTTTAAACAACAGTTATATCTAATCAACGTTAAACAAAAGACGCGTTCAAGAAAATTCCTACCTACCTGTTTTTGGTTGTTCACAGTTTAGGCACGATGATGCTCGCTAAAACAGAACTAACATTGCCGGAATACCGTAATGCATCGAGAATTAACCGAATACAGATTGGGTGGCTGTTTTGTAGAATGTCTCCACTCCGTCCATAAGCATGACTTCAACCGTCCGGTTTCCAGAAATTTCAATACTCTATTTTAGTCTCATGCTCATGTTTCTGTCCTAGGCCTGTAGCAGAAGCCCAATACAAATTGGAGGAACACCCTATTTTCTCATTAGACATTTTACAACCATCTGGAGCAAACATTGAGCTCAATTACTTTAGACCATGCTTCCGTCCCCCATTTTGATTTTTTGCACCCAGTGCCTACTGTATCTTGATTTCATGCTTTTGCTTTCAGCAATTATTCCACTTACTGTGGACGAATGAATTGTTGCTTCTCTGCAACTATTGCCTGTTATTTCATTACACTTATAACCTTTAACCTTCCTTCTCTTTGACCTTACACTTTGTTCCACTTGCTGTTCCCGCTCCCTATAAAACATTTAATTTTTCTTCTATTTAAAAGAGGTCATATTAAATCCACCCTTTACTTCAAACTTTTCATGCGCCCTTCTCTTACTTCTATTCCTGAGGCTTATATGATATTACAAGATTGTTTTTGGACCGATGGGCTTTGTAATCCGCCACCCATCCCACTCCATAGTGAGAGTGAACTGTTACAACTATGGCTGAACAAGCACTGCGCTCCTCCGTTAAGAGGCTGGGAGTCGGGGGGGGGCGGCCTCTGCTGATTTCCCGCCTCCCCCAATGGCTGGGATCACCAACAGCGGGCTCAAGTTGCAAACGCCAGTTGTGTTCCGTCCTTTGTGTTGAGTTAGTACCGTCCGGAAGGGGTGGTGTCAAGTTTAGCAGCCTGTGTGTGTGCCTGGAGGGGCTATGAAAATGTGTTCCGAGTCGGAATCACTGGAACAGAAGCTGCGGCTGGTACACAGCACCATCAAATCTTACCCCGACTTCCCCACCGAGGGCATCCTTTTTCGGTGAGTTTTCTCCTCCCTCTCTAGATCCCTTTCTAAGGCAAAGTAGGTTTGTCAGTATTTGGACCTTTCCGCACTGGAAGCGTGGCCGCTTAGTTAAGCAACATCGAAAAAGCTGACGGGTCCATGTGAATAAAATCCCAGGACTGTGAAAATAGAATGATCTTTAATGTATGTTTGCTTTCCTAAGTCAAAGTATCAAAAACAAGAAGTTATTGCTTGTTGCATCTATTCTCCAAACGTCGAATCTTATCCCTCCTAAAGTATTTGCCAGCCCTTATAAGGGGACTTTGCATTTATATAGTGCCTTTCTAATGTTGTGGCGATTTGTTAGGCAATACATGGAGTGGGTGTGAAATTTCCTAGCCCTGTAATTGCGAAAATAATGAACTGTAGGATGGAGTTACAGAAAAAACAGGACAGAGCTCATTCCATTCTCCCTGAAAAAATGTGAGGTCGGCATAAGCTAAATGTGCTGTCGGTCTCGTTCCAATGAATGGGTTGTCAGGGTCTAAAGTAGGAAGTTCAAAATAAGAGTCATAATTATGAGCGTCTCTAATTAATTTCACTCCAATAAGGTAGGCGTGGAAATGATTCTTGCATGATCAAATCTATTTTAAGGGTATTAAGTAAGTCACTAATTAGTTCAGAGATAGTAGGAACTGTAGATGCTGGATTCAGAGATAGTTAGTTCACTAATTAATTCACTTGGGAATTCAAGACTGCCTTATTTATCTAGTGATAAATAGAACATAATGGAAATACACTGAGTCAGGTGGTATGGAGAGAAACCAAAGTTCATGTTCCAGGTTGATTACCCTTTGTCAGACTGTAATGCAGTGCTCAAATTCTTCACTAATGAAGCACAGAAGGAGACCTATTTGCTTGTTGTGTCTCTGTCAACTTCTTTGAAGAGCAATCCAGTCAGTCCCATTCCTCAACACTTATGTTTTTTTCCTTCAAGTATTTATCCAGTTCCCTTTTTGGAGGGTATTACTGTTTTGAATCTGTAACCACTGTCCTAGCAGGCAAGGCAGTCTAAATACAAATCCGTCAATAATGAAAAAACGTTTTTACTGCTTTTTTGAAAATTCATTCAAGAGATGAGAGCATCAATGGCTAGGCAGCATTTATTGCCCATCCCTAATTGCCCAAAGGGCAGTTAAGAGTCAACCACATCGCTGTGGGTCTGGAGTCACATGTAGGCTGGATCAGTTAAGAATGGCAGTTCCCTTCCCTAAAGGACATTAGTGAACCAGATGGTATTTTCCAACATTCAATTGATGGTCCTCAGACTCTTAATTCCAGATTTTTCTCTTCTTTATTGAATTCAAATTTCCTTATCTGCCATGGAGGGATTCAAACCTGGGTCCCCAGAATGTTAGACAACAAGGTGCAGAGCTGGATGAACGCAGCAGGCCAAGCAGCATCATAGGAGCCTGGGTCTCTGGGGTAATAGTCCAGCAACAATACCACTAGGCCATCGCCTGACCCAGATTGTCTCCAGTTATTTTGCTCACCTCCTAAAATCTACGCTGTCTGTCATTGACCCTTCTGTTACCTCTAGTTCTTCTGGCGGCGGTCATTGTACGTTGATGCCTGCAATTAATGACCCTTCCACTGCTGTAAACAGTTCATTAATTTGCTGAATCACAAACTTGTGATTTTTAAACACAGCTGTCAAATCTCTTCTTGTTCTTATTATTAACAGCGAAGACTAAAATCAGCTTCTCCAATCTGGTAACATGGGTTATTATCTCAATAACTTTTGAAAATCTGTGTATGCAGCATGGACTGCACTGCTCTCACTTATCTTCTGTTAGTTTATCGAGAATAAACTCAAACAAGTTAGTTTAATGCAGTTTGACCATATCAATTATTTACTTACTTTTCAGTTTTAGTTTTAAGAATTCTGCCATGTATTGCCTAACTGCATTTTGCAATTAGCAAAGTGACATTGACTGTAGGTTAATCTTTGAATTTGTCTATTGTGAAGTTAGTGTGAGAATCTCTGGCATGAAACTCCATATTTTAAAGTGCATCTGGAAAGTGTTCAAACAAAAATAGGAATTCCTGGAGAAACTGACAACATTCTGTGGAAAGAAAGCGGAGTCGACATTTTGGGTCCAGGAACACTTCTTCAGTTCTAAAAGGGTGGACCTGCTGAGTTTTTCCAGCAATTTTAGTTTTTGTTTCACATTTCCAGCATCCACAGTTCATGGTTTTTTGGAAAGTGTTGAAAATGTTTTTGCAGACTATAATGGGGTGGATGTAATACAACATTATGGTGGCTCAGTGGTTAGCACTGCTGCCTCGCAGTGCCAAGGACCCAAGTTCGATTCCACCCTCGGGCGACTGTCTGTGTGGAGTTTGCCTATTCTCCCCATGTCTGCATGAGTTTCCTCCGGGTGCTCTGGTTTCCTCCCACAGTCCAAAGATGTGCAGGCTAGGTGGATTGGCCATGCTAAATTGCCTGTAGTATTCAGGGATGTGTAGATTAGGCGGATTATGCAGGATGGGTCTGGGAGGGATGCTCTGAGGGTCACTGTGGACTTGTTGGGCCGAAGAGCCTGTTTCCACACTCGTGATTCAATGATTCTATGAAACATTCTATAAAGCCACTGTCGTATGATTTACAAGATGTTCTTGATGACTGTGCTTCCTGCTATGTGCTCATGAAGCAACGTCACCACTGTTGGAAGAATAAAAAAATTTAAACAAGATTTGTATTTCTTTGGACTTGTGAACATGCACACACAATTGACTGACCAGTTCTTGAATTCTGTTTCACACAGTGATGTGGGAAGTTAAGGATATTACCAGTGACCTAAACAACCAGGAAATGTTGCCAGCTGCAGAAAATTCATCTCTGTTTTGGAGCTTCAGCAGCTGCTGGAGTTGCTATGGGGCACGGCCTCAAAGCTGAGAGCTATGTGCATAGCATGCTCAAAGAAGTGGTCCACTACAGGCTGTGCAGAGAGGGAATCAGTGACACCAAGCAGCTCGAGAGAACCAAGTAGAAAATGTAAAAGAGCCCTAGGGTCCAACTCGCTAATTGGTTTGGATACTGCTGAGATGTTGGTTCCTCAGAGGCGTATAGTCAGAGCCAAGTCCACAGAGGGCTGTTGAGCCTGGCTAATTAAGTATATTCAAGGCTGAGCCAGATTTTTAATCAGTAACGAATCGAGGGTTATGTGGATAAAGTCAGGAAAGTGACATTGAGGATAATCAGATCAGTCATGATCTCATTGATTGACAGGGCAGACTTGATGGGCTAAATGACCTACTTCTGCTCCTGTGTCATAGTGGTCTTAAGTTTATAGCACCACACACAGCTCAGCTAAAGAGGAGGGAATGAAGAACAATAGTGATAGGGATTCATTAGTTAAGGAAACAGATAGGTATTTCTGCAGCTGAAAACGTGACTCCAGGTAGGAGCATTGCCAGGATCAAGGATGTGATAGGACAGCTACAGGACATTCTTCAGAGGAAAGGAGAATGACCAGTGATTGGGGTCCATGTTGGTAGCAGTGGTAGGAAGAGGGAATATGGTCCTGCAATCAGAATTTAGGAAGTTAGCTCAAAAAAAATCTGGCAAGCAGGACCTCAAATGTATTAATATCTGGAATACTCTCAGTGCCATGTGTGAGTACAGAAGTAGGATAAAGCAAGTGGAAAGATGGTGGAGGAAGGAGGGCTTTAGATTCCTGGGACATTGGGGTTTTTGCACTTGTACAATCCGGACAGGTGAAGAGAGCTGGGATTGAGTTCCCTGAGGTGTTTTGCTGTTGGGAGGGCTTTAAACTAACCTGGCAGGAGGTGTGAAAACCAGGAGAGAATGTCAGAGAGGAATATTCAGGTGCGTAAAATGCTGAGAAAAGCAGATAGCACTAGAGTAGAGAATAGCAAGCTAATGGGTGAAGTCAGAGTAAGGAAGAGAATAATGATGTCTGAATCAGGGTTATATTGCATGTGTGTGAATGCATGGAGTGTAGTAAATAAATAAGTTTCATGAGTTGCAGGTACAGATTGTCACATAGAATTCTAATGCAATGCATTAAAAGACCGGGCGTGAGGATTGTGTGTTAAACATTTCTGGGTACAAGATGTTCAGAAAAGGATGAAAGTAAGAAGGAGTGGAGGTATTGGTTAAGGACTGAATTGTAGTGCTGGAGAAAGGTCGCCTTAAGAAGGTTCAAGGACATAATCAATTTGGCTAGAACAAAAAAGGTGCAATACATTGCTCGGTGTAGTATATAGACCAGCAACTAGTTGGAAGGATATACAGGAAAAAAATTGCAAGTGAATTAGAGGTGCAACCGGTTTAGAATAGTTATAAAGGAGGACTTCAATTATTATAGAGTTGGATAGTTGTGTAATGAGCAGAGATAGACAAGTGTTCCTAGAATGTGTTCAGGAGAATGATTTTACCGCAGCATGTGTCTGGTCCAACACAGACGTACTGGTCGACGTGAAGTTTGGAAAAGAGATGGATCAAGTAAATAGTGTCGTGGGGGAACACTTGGGAGACAGTAATCATGGAATCACAACATTTACGATGTTGACAGAACAGTGGACGTTCTAGAGTAATAATAATCAACTGGAGGTGTGCCAATTTAAATTGGGCAAGATCGGAGCTGAGCCTGATAGACTGGAACCAAAGGCTAGTGAAAAAACTGTAGCTGAGAAATGGACTATCTTCAAAAGAGAAATGGCCAGGCACAGTCGAGGTATATTCCCTCATAAGGCCAAGATAGGGCAAACAAATCCAGAACTCTCTGGATGGAAAATGAAACAGAAATTAAGGTGAAGAAGAAAAGTTGTGCTTGCTATTTATCAGGTAGAAAATCCTGCTAGAACCAAAAGCTTCAGAGATGAGCAGGAAAAGCAAAGAAGGAATATGAAAGATACTGACAACTAACATAACTAGGAATCCCAAAATCTTCTACAGGTATGCAAAGAGTGAAGGAACGAGTAAAGTGGAATCTGGATCAACATAAATT